TAAAATCTGCAAAAGATTAAATAAAAAAATCTGCTCGAAATTAATTCCATCACCGATATCCTTATATAATCTTCTAACAAAACAATTTCGAAACTTTTTAAAGTTTAAAGTGAACAGGAAACGAATAGGTTGCCATCTATCGTTTCCAGTCCAAGATACAGAGATAGTTAAATAATAATTTTCACGTGTGAAAATTCGCAAATTGGTCCGCTTGGAAGGCTCGTGACTCGGAACATAGCAACGTCACGGCTACAAATCTAATCGTCCCTTAACACATCGAACGGCCTCGCGCGCATAGGAACGTGGGACGTAGCAGGTTGGAGGGCCGAATCGATCGAACAAGGAACAAGGAACAACACACGAAGCTCCGCGTATTGGCCAGCTTATTAGCCGAGCATAAGCAATCGTCAAATGGAATAGCGGGCCCGACCTGGTCGGTGTCGAGGGACAATCGAGTCGTAAAAGCTACTTAGTGCTTCGCAGCGGCGAACAAATGGACATCCGTGGCTAATTTATGCGATGGGCAGCGATATTAACGAGACCCCTCCACCCTGGAGGACGCGCCATGGGACCGGCCCACTGCTAGAAACTTGCAACTTCGAGGGGAAACCCCCTCCATTCGTTCTCGCAAATCGTTCTTTGGGCGAAAGAGAGCTGAATTTAGAGTCTCCGGTTTGGAAAAGCGTTATGAATGGTAAATGGGACGATTGTTGGAAAATTATTCAGAGATTCGTTTGAAAAAGTTTATTCCTGGACACGTTCCTTATCGCGAATTTAACAAAGTGTAAGCGTAGCGATAGGTGAGGGGCGATTGAAGAGGTAAAGGATTATGAGATGGCTAAGATTGTTGACCGAAAAGATTGTTCAGAAATTTGTTTGTGTACGGTTGAGGGAGGAGTAAGTATTATCATTATTCGATTGTTATCGTGAGAATTAATGAAATTAATGTTATTTGGCAGACCAAACTGAAGGTATGGAAAGAAATAAGTAAACAATTTCGCTAGGTAAATTTAATTGATTGTATGAAGATTGAACGTTAATATTAAAAGAAAAAGTGTTAAGTGGTTTATTATTAAAGAAGATTGAATCGGTTTATTTCGGAAATTAGAAACGATAATTTAGTGAAAAAATCAAGTGACAATTAAATTTCAACTCGACACTGGTTTTAACTTTGATTATTTCCCTTTGACCTATCCAATTTCACTACTTCATCGACACGTAAGATTTTTTACTCGTTTAAAATAAGAAGACTAAATAATTACAGGATATAAGAACTGGTTACAATAGTTTAGAAGTTTTAAAGTAGTGAATAAAATCTACTTTGGAAGGAAAGAAACGTTTCATCAAAAGAATTTGTTAAATTGCAAACTTCTCCCTTAACTCTCGGAAGAGATATAATGAAAAAAACGTGTATTTTTAAAAACCTCATCACCGTAATTCCGGTAATAAGAAATTATTGTTTTACAATTAAGGTATCCCCCTATGAAAAGAATTTCATTGCACCAAATAGCGTAGATCCTACGAAATAACGTTATGAATATCAAATTGTACGACTGGACAACGTTTATTCTTACGTTCATTCATCAAGGATGAGCAAAAATTATTTTATCCATCTTTTCCATCCGCTGAAAAAAAAGAAATTCTTCCCTAGTCACCTGAGAAAACCTGAGAAGACCGTAAACTCGCAACTGTACGCGTCAAAATTTAATGATCCAACACGCACATTTTCTCGAAACGACACTATGAAAAGAAACGATAGAAGACAGAGACCTTTTGAAACCAATCCTCCATCACCCGAGTCGAACACTATCCTCGCCGCTTTTTTCTTTTTTTTTTTTTTATTTTTTAAAGAAAATTTGTCGCACTCACCATGGTGTCTTTGATGTGCTCGACCGGTTGCAGGAGGACCGTGGTTGCGGCTAGCGGCCGATGATGATGCTGCTGCTGCTGTTGCTGGTGATGATGATGATGTTGCTGCTGCTGCTGATGGTGATGGTGCTGATGGTGGTGCGGATTACAATTGGCGATATTCGTGCAGGTGCAGGTGCAGCCAATGTTGCAGGCTTGCTGGCCGGCGAAGAGGTGTCCTACCAGGCCGGGGGTGATCGCTGCTGCCGCCGCGTTGTTGATGCTGTTCAGCAGGGGCGGAGGCAGGGACACCGCACCACCCGGGACAAACGGGTACGAATGAAAATACGTGGTGATGGAGGATCGTGCCTCGTCGGCGCCTATCGTCTCCGCCAACCAACACTTGCCGTTCCCTAATTGGGGTACGAACAAGCCGCGGCCGCCCAACGAGTGCAGCCTCCAGAACAACCTGCCGCCGCCGCCGCCGCCGCCGCTGCCGCGTTGTTCCTCACCGAGCCAGCCGCGTTCCAACGACGCCTGATGATGATGATGATGATGATGGCGAGCTTCCGTCTTGCTCGACTCGCACGACGGCCACCACAGTTTGCCCGCTGACTCCGTTCCCCTCTCGATGACCTCGATGAGATCGATCGTAACTCTCGAGCCAGAGTTCAAGATTCGAATCGCAGCCCGGATCGAACCGCGAGGCCGATTATTATCATCCGTTTTCGATCTGAATCTCGCTTCAATCTCGCTTCTATCTACACGAGTGTTTTCGTTTTATACGCGCGCTTAAGTCGTCCGGACGTGAGACGTCTAAGAGTGCCTCTTAGGGGGAGGGGGGGCTAGGGGGAAGAGCGGCTCTGATGAGGGCCCGATCGGAGGGGTACACCTTAAGAGCTATAACACGCGCGAATCAGATTAGACGGGCTGTCGCCGCTCAAGTCCTTACTGTACTATTATTAGACACGCACACGCACGCGCGCATACGTACGCACGTACACATACACGAGGGGAGGAGGGGGGGGGGGAGGAGAGGAGGTAAACACACGTGTTCGGGAGCGAGACCCGTGTGGTCTCTACAACCGCAGAGAGAAGACGCAAGATTTCGAGCCTTAAGTGAGATACGAGACGATTAGCCTAGGGATCGGTCCTCGCGTTAGAAGTACGTAGATGATTGTCAAGATGTGTGAGCGAGTTAGAGGGGGGGTTTAGAGGGGGTTGGTTGCGCGCCGTGCGAAGGTAAAAACAGGGGTGGCACGGTACACGCACACGCACGCGGTAGAGCATGGAAACACGCATACAAGCATATACACGCGCGCGGAGGAGACACAGAGGAACGCGCGCGCGCACGCACGCACGCAGCAGACACACACATACACACACGCGCGCGCGCACACACACACACACACACGTATGTGCGTGTCGAGTGTGCGAGGAGGTTGAAGAGTGACGAAGAGTGACTCTCGCACGACTCGCTCGCACGTTAATTGAAACGTCGTAGGTACGTGGATTCTCGTGATTGTTCTTTCCTCCTTCCATGTAATCGCGATCCCCCCTTGAAGAGCGATCTCCCGTAGGAGGATCGTGGATTTCAACTTCTCTCTAATAAAGAGATTCACCTAGTCCAAGTATATTTTTAGCTAAGAGAGCTAGCTGAAAAATGATTGTCACGAAGATTGACAGAGAACGCCCCTGGAAAATAGGAGCAGATAGGGAAGAGACGGTCGGGCTTTGCTCTACTTCCGATAAGGAACAGCTGGCGAAGCCCAACGATCGGATATGTGCGAAGGATGTATACATATAAACGTATGTATATAAGTGTAAATATATATAATATATATATATATATATATCGTGTGTATATGTGTGTGTAGAAGTTATATACATAAATATCTATGTAGATAATATATATATATATGTGTGTGTGTGTATATATATATATATATGTAGAGCGTGTACAGAAGTAGTACAGAGGCTGGAGATCACATGAAGACACGAATACTCGTTTACTCTCTTTCACTCGGTAATCCGCAGGGGAGGGGAAGTACCGCGTGTAGCTCCTTTCCACCTCTCCCTCTCACGATTCCTTTTTTTTTTATTTTTTTTTTTAATTTTTTATTTTTTTTTATTTTTTTAATGATTCCTCTCTATTATACCCAACCCACTACTGTGCTTGATTGTCTTGACGCGATTCTCTTTAGTGCGATCGGTCGCTCATTATTCACGCGCGACCATCTCTTTTTGCTTATATACTTATTTTACTTCTTACTATTATCCTAATTAACTTACGCATAAGGGGGGAAGGCGGGGGGAGGGACAATGTGATACCGCGTTATATCTAAAAAGGAGGAATATATCGACGTTCTCTCTCTCCGTAATCTACCTAACGTAGATAACGCGCACGTCTCTTCTCGTTTAGTTACTTTGTACAAATGTAGACGCGCAAAAACGTCTAACGTCCGAACGACTAACAGCAGCGCTCTCTAGCACCGACGAATCGCGGCCCGCCGCGGAAAACAAAAATATAATTCTCTATCCCGGCCTCGCGACTCTTCCAGCGAGCCTCTTTCTGTCCTCTTTCTATCCTCGTTCGCCGGCCTCTTCTCGCCCGTTCAGCTTTAAATGATCCTCCTGCTCCAGATTCCTCGGCCTCCTTCTCCCTTTCTCTTTCTATCTACCGTTCGACGGCTCCGTAAACACCGTAATACAGGCCCAAGCTGTTGGCTGTGCGCGCGCGACCTTGAAACACCGCTGGCCGCTCGGTTGGCAATACAGGAAGAAGCCTTATCTGTTTTCTTTCTCCCCTTGTTTCCCCGGCCGGTTCCCTCGATGGCTGCTTCTAGCACGGGGGCGACTCGCGTTCGACACACACAGACACACACACACGGTCGGACAACGGGGGAGGGCAGTGAGACTGTGATCAAAGAGCCGGTGCATACATGTGCCACTCCTGTGACAGCTGCTGGTTGAACGTGTCTCGACGACGGCCACGACCAAGAGGGGGGGACCAATGTAGATTTTAGACAGGCTCTCGTGCACACGTTGTATCACGTGCCGACCGTTTTCACACTAGCTTCGTTGGCTTGTTCCGCGTCAGATCGACTCTCTCTCTCTTCGGCCGGCTGACGCGCGCGTGTGGCCACCGACAGGCGTAAACAGCGAGAGAAAGAGAGAAGGGCAGAGAGGGGGGGGGGGAGGAGAGAGAGAGAGAGAAGAGAGACAGACAGACAGAGATAGAGACAGAGAGTAGGTACCGGACAACCACGGGCGATCGGTGGAGGACTAAGTGGGCACCGACGTCGAGAGTTGAAGAGATGGAGCGCAAACGGCGACCCGCACAACGCAATAATAGGCAGACAATCGTAGTCGGACCAGGAGGACTTGGTGGTAGGTATATAACTTGGTCGTATATATATATATATATATATTACGTGTGTATTATACTTTCTGTTGGAGACACGGAGTGATGAGAGATATCGGTCGTGTGTGTCTGTCTGTCTGTGTGCACGTGTGTGACTGGTGTCGCGTTGGCTTGGAGATCTGTTGCCGCGACCTGCACGGGGGCTGAGGCGGGGTGGGGGGAGGGAAGGGTTTTTCGAGAGAAAGAGAGAAGGAGAAAGTGTGTGTGGGAGTGTGTGTGTGAGGCGGTGTGTGTGTACGTGAGAGAGTAACTCGGAGGCGGGAACGATTAAAGAGCGTCCTACTCGATCGCCTAGCTTGACACAACTGAGAGTAGTGTCTCTCTCGCGGCGCCCGCGTAGGCCTCCACCGCCACCGTCGCCGCGGCCGGGTCGTGTCGCCGCGTATACGCGGCTTTCAAACGTTACCCCCTGCTCTTTGCACCCCGGCGCACGTAGCGTCGCCAATCGGGAGCGAGGGATTGCCGAGATCTCGCGAAACTTCACGAGCCGAGTCGAGTTTGCGCGCAACCGGGCGTAAGTTCGTGCCTCGCTCCTCGCCGCTCTCTCCGTCGCGATCGCTTCTTCCTCCCTACCTCCCTCCCTCCCACTCGCACCAGTTATCCCCACTCGAGAGCTCGGCCGAGAGAACACAGTGGTGTGTCTTTACTAACCCTGTTTCGCTCGCTTTCGCCTCTTTTTCTTCCACTCCGCTCTATCTATCCGCCTCTCTTTCTCGCTCCTTGCTTTGCGACTGACTCCCCGCTCGGGGGATTCTCACCGTGGATAGTTCCTCGCCGGCCAGGTTAGACCGATTCCTTCTTTACGAAGGGGAACGTGAGTGCTGGTGACTTATGTTTGGGTTGGATGGGATTTCACCGTCGTTGGGTGGTGTGTTTGGTGATGGGTGGGGGAAGGATAACCGGTGAACAGTAGTGGACAGGTGGATTCCGTTTCTCTACGTTGGTGATCGTTTTGTGACGTGTTGCTACAGTGGTTTTGCATTAATGGGAGATAGAGTTAGAATTCGAATCGAAATATATTGCGATAGTTTATACATGTAGATAGATGTTAATGCCGACGATATCGATGTGACTCACGAACGTTTTCGATTTCAAGCGGTATTTAAGTTGGCACTTAATAGATTACGTTAGATCAAATATTTACTCGGTTCTTGTAATTTTTCGGTATATGTGTGTTTCGAAAGATGCTAAAAAGAGAGTTTAGATTTATCTAAAATAGAAAATATCCTCCCGACATGTCATCCGTTTTAATAATTATTTCAAAACTTGTCGAAACGAAATTTTCTTAACTTCAAAACTGTAAAATGTAATTGGAAATAAAATGCTGAATTTTTTCGTATTATTTGTAAGAACTTTTTTTAGCTTTACCCGAAAACCTTTTTAATTTCTGTCACACTTGTGTAATTCGATAGGTACGTATTTCATTATTTATGGAAGGAATTAAATAGAAGTTGAATTACAAAATGTACAATATTGACAAGAGGGAATGGATCAAACGATGAATTTTAACAGAATTATTTCCCGAAATACGGGAACTTTTCTTAATTAAAATTGACATTATCGAGTTGAAATAATCACCGATGTAATTATTAAATGTGTAAATTAAATCAGTGCTATTTGAACGAAAATTAAAATATTATTTATGGATCACGATAATATTAAATCACCTCATAAAATAACCTCTATTGTTCAATTTAAACTATATATCAAATTTATATTCAATAAAAAAAAAATGAATAAATCTAATGGTTGAATTAACGAATTTACGAATAATTAAAATCATCCCGATATCGAGAATTCATAATCGCGGATAAAAGAAAAAAAAAAAGAAAAAACCTGACCAATCATCGATCACGGGCAAAGGATAAGAACGACCTTTTTTCAAAGAGCAAAACAACCTTTTCTATTCGCTCTTCGACAACACGCTTTTCAAATAGTTTGTCCAAGACCGAGATTGCGATCGTTCAAGTGGGCAAGAGGGGTGAAAAGCGGAAGAGAAACGAAATTCGAAGGCCTGTGTGTGTGTATGTGGGGCCCTCGAGAAAAAAAAACGACGAGAGAAGTTAGTGACGGCCACGAGAGCGCTCTCGATGTGTTCTTCGGGATTCTGATTGTTCAGAAACGAGCGGCGTCGATCAGGATCGATTGCGCAACGAACCGATTCACCCTCCACGGCCTCGAGAATGCTCGAACAATCGGCTCTCCATCCTCGAAAGTGGTAACCTGATTATCCACAGCCGGCCACAACGAATAAAGAGGAGAATAAAGACACAGTTTTGAGGGAGAGGACGGAGTGTTTTTGGTGGTGTCCATTTCTCAAAATAGATCGTGACGCCAATTCTTTGTCGAAAAATAGAAGTGATTTCTGCGGATCTTGAGAGAAAACTTTGTAAGAATATTTATTTTATATGGGTAAAATTGCGTGTGGATACGAATTAGTTCGAATGTGATAATCGGATCGATTGATTCAAACAAGACACGAAGAGACGATTTTACGTCTCTAAGTATTGTGTGAATTGAATTTTAAAGAAAACGCTAATTAAGAAGAGCATCTTGCGCAATTGATCAAAAGAATTGAATATGAATAGAGGATAATTTGTTTAAGAATCGTTGCATGGAAAATGGAAGAAATTTTGTCGGAAGGAATACATTTGTAATAAAAAGTTTTCGAGAAACTTGCCTAATTGCATTACTTGCTTACTTTTTCCTCTACGGTCCATCCTCCATCGTCTTACGATGTGTATAATTAACACGAGAAAAGAGAGGAGAAACGGGACGGATGTTTAAATATTTCGCTAATCTTTCCAAAGAAACTTTTGCAAGATCAACAGCGAGGAATTTGCTAATCCACCATGTATAGGGGAGGAGGAGGAGTATCGTTAATTAAACGCGGCCACAGTATCATAAGATGGAACGAAGGTTAAACAAGGGGAAGAATGGAGCTGACTTCACGTCTGACGTGCTAATATTCGCTCGGCCAAGTAGCTACGTTAATTACTGTCAAATCGAGAAGCGGCAAATGAAATAATTACTAGGCGTCGTAACTCTTCGTGATCGTAGCCACCTCTAATTAACGTACGAGGTAGTCAGAGACTCTCGGCGCCGTGGACCTCGTTTTTTGATACCCTTCGTGTAAGAGTTCGAAATAGGATTCGTCCCACTTTGATCGATAGTAATAAAAACTTTTCTTTGCGATAACCCTTCGAAAGATTTATCCCGATACGAATGAGTTTTTCTAGCTTTTTCTTGAAGAAAATTCATATCAAAGAGATTTTATTTAGAAGCATTTCAATAATTAATTAATAGAAACTTTCTTCCAATTTTTCTTCCAATTATCTAAAAAAATTCGCTCGTTCTCTAAAAACTTTGATAATTCGTTACAGGGGTTGTTTTTATTAAATTCAGATTAAACTTATTTACATTTTTTTTTTTTTGATGTTCAATTAATTCGTTTATTTCGACGAAATGATATTCAATTTTCAATAGGAAAAAGGAAGAATATTTTTAAAATACGAATTTGGACAAACGCAACGAACGAATTTTGAAATAATAGGTAAATACGCGACAATAAAATTTTTCTTTTCTTTTCTTAATTACGGCGATAAAGGGAAGGCAACGACGTTAAGAGAAAAATTTAATCAACTTACCAACGCTGCTCGCGTGCCAAAGGAAACGGAGCCAAAGAAGCCAGAAATCTTACCTGGAACAAAAATTAATATATTTTCTTAATTTAACAAGACAGCACCCGTGCCAAAAGCTGCGTGCATCTGCAAAAACAAAAAACAGGGGGTGCGAATCTTCAAACGAACCAATTAATTTTCCATTTTCGATTCAATTGTCGAATTGTTTGTCGAATATTTATAAAAGAAAGAAAGAAAGGGAGGAAGGAAGGAAGGAGGGAAAAAACATTATTGAAATAACGAATGAGAAAAAATATACGTCACATTTTAAAACTTAACAAATTTTCATTCGAGCACCAGGAGAAATAATTAAAAATTACTAAAAAAATTATTATACGTTCGTACGTAGCGTAGCGTTTTCATTTCAGAAAAAAATATACATTTTAAGCTATAAAATTAAATTCTTTGCCTCGTGTACGTTATGTATTCAGCTTTGTGAAAGAAAAGATTACCAAAAAAAAAAAAAAAAAAACTTGCCAAGTTTTTCTACGTCATTAGTGCATATTTATACACGTTTATGGAATTACGAAACCGAGTAAAAAATATTCTTTACGCGAAAACATCAAATCTTCGCAACTCGGTTTTAACACGATTTTTAAATATGTCTCTCTATGTGTTACAAGAAAGAACAAAAAAAACTATTATATAATTAAGTCCCTACACAAACAATCTTCTCTACAAAATGGGAAAATCGTCAAACGACTTATTCAGTGTTAAAATCAAACTGGTCTAGAAACGAGTCTTCTGAATTAAAAATAAAAACTTTGCTTCAAATAAAAAAATAAAAAAAAAACGACAACTTTTCCATAATCGATAATTACAAAAAAAAAAGAAAAAAACGAAAAGAAATTATTCCTTTCATACTAAAATTAGACAATACTCCCGTAATACTTACACGATGAGACGAATCCCCAGTTTCAGGTTCCATTAATCTCTATTTAACTTCCGTATCAAATCTTCCGTAAGATCGCCTCGTCCTTATTATCACACGAGATCCAAGAATATTTTACTCCCGGCAAGAAATTCTCAAAGGTAAGAAAATCTCGCACGCCCAGCTGGGACTGGAGATCGCGTGGCGGCGCTGCGATCGTTAATCCTGCCTCGGCGACGACTTAATACGGTGGGCAAACCTCGTTTCGTGGGCGGCGCCAGCCCAGTTGGGAACCGAGCCTAAGTCCCCGGCAAATTGCTCGAAGGTTGCGTCGAGGGGCTAAGCGGTATGCAGATCGCGAGATCGCGACATACGTCGAGGATTAGCCGGGCTAAGGAGGATCCGCAGGAATCGACGGATCGAAATGTCCCCAAGAATCCTATTTAACTTACTTACTTACGCTGCGAGCCCCTCTCCCCCCTCGTGTCTCTCCCCGTAATTTGTGTAATCGCCCGCACCATAAGATTTTCACCCGCGATGATAGATTCCACTCCACTTCGCAGGACGTGTCTCTAGGGGGATTTCTTCGATAATTCTGGTGAAATTTTTGATAGCAGGAAGGAAATTTAATTGATTTAATTTTTCTGCGAGATCGAGAAACCAGATTCACCTCCCCTCAAAGGAATTTATTCTGAATAGAGAGGGTTTTCAGGGAGGTTTCTAGAGGGTTCCTCTGATCTTCTAATAGCGAGAGATCTTCTTTCAATTCCTCTTTTCATCGTTTAGCTTTTTTTTTTTTTTTTTAGAGCTTATCGAGGACGGTTAATTCCTTTTAATTTATTAATGTTACTCGCGTAATGGATACCTCGGTAGAAGAGAAATTTCACGTTGGAATTTTTTGAGAAATTTGCCTGTAATTGCAGTCTGTCCACACTCATTGCCGGTAGAGATATCTTTTCGATTTATTATCTTGTTTTCTCGAAAAATTTATAGAATTAATAACACGATTTATAGAACGAATCGTTCCCTATTCGACAACTTTGTCACGATCCAATTTTGAACAAACAATAAAATGGTAAATACCGAGAACATTAAGAAAGACGACGGTCAATCCGATCGATTTTGTACATCGTCGCTTCCGGGGATGCCAGTCATCGAAGCGGAATTGTGTAACAACGATTTGTCCGCGTTTAGCGGCGTCGTTATCGTGGCATCGGCCGTGCATAATTCTGTTTGAACGAATCATTATTGCGGTCATCCGTACATACGTGCCGGTAAATCCATTTACGGTCACAGCTGTCGATTGTTCCACGCGCTAAATTACCAAGGATGATTGATGTCGTGCCGTGCCGGTCGATCGGTGCTTCAAAGTCGAAACGGAACGACAAAAATGCCAGATCGCTGTCAAAACACTCGATTATACACACTCGCGCGATATTTCTTCCCATTTCGTCCCTCTCATCGTATATCAATTAACGAAGAATACCGTTAAATATCGTTGTTTTTGTTAATTCACCGTGGTGATCGTGACGTACACGTGTGATACACGCATCTTTTTCCACGTGCAAAATTACACTTATTAGAATTAAGTATAAACAGATCGAGCGAAACTCTCCACTTGAGAACACTTTTCAAAGACGATCCTCTTTCGATAACAATCAAACCAGAGCACTCGTTTCAACAGTTATTTCCATTACAGGCGATCTATCGTCGAAAATTCGTCCCACGATGTTTACGCATATTGCACCGACGCATGCGAGACATTAACGGTCCGCGAGAGGCGAAGGAGGGGGCGCCACACATCCGTCGAACGGTTTCTCACGCGACCAAGACGTGGCGCTTCGTTCGCTCGATTTTTATCGGCGGTGCACGCGTCGAAACGAGACGGTGAACCGTGACCAAGAGCGAAGAAGTTTGGCGATAAAAGAACGAAACGGTTCGCGATGATGGATGGCCACGAGAACTCGTGGCACACCTCGTTTCCCGCGTTGATGAATAATTTGACTAACGTTTGACAAATGAGGAGACGAAGGAGATGAGCAGAAGTTTTTCTTACGAAATATCTTCGATCCTAACAATATTTTCGTTCGCGTCCAAGATGGACGTTCGCTCGGCGAGACGCTTCGCGAGTTTATTAGCGAAAGCAAGGTAACCCATATCAGAATTATTCATCCGTTGTCTACTTGTTTATAATATCATTGAAAATTCATGGCGTTCCAGGTGATCCCAGATGAGATAATAATTATCACAAGTTCACAAGTCGCTGCACGCATCCTTGACGATTTGAATTATTTCTGAATACAATTCGAACACACTCTCGTCTTCGATTATTTAAAAATGTTACAATCGTAGACAAATAATTCTGATATGGATTAACGTATTCTGCTTATCTTGGAATGCTTTCATAACCGTTG